TTGATTCAGCATCAACTAAAAACACCACCACAGGGCCTAGCACAGTGCAAGAGCTACATAAATGTTTGGCGAATTGATATGAAGTTGAATTGAAGACTGGCAAAATGAACATTTATACACAGTCAAGTATCTAACTTGCCCAGTTCATATTCTCATTCTTTCTCTCATCATGCCTAAGAGGAGTAATTAATAATTAAACAAACAATAGTGTATTCTGATGGTTAAGAATATAACAACTTAATTGATATTTGTTTCTGTAGCAGTACAGTATCTCATTTCCCCAGGAGGGCAGTTTTCCATTGCTGTTCCATGTTTCTAACAATAAAATGGATCAATCCTGTGGATGCCTGAAGGCTATTTGTTAAGAAAGAAAAATGACGGGTAGTGGGTCTATAGCAGACAAAATACTGTCTTCATCATGTTTTAAACACTGACATTTATTAGGGTTTTATGAACTCATACATTATTAGGATAAATTCTAATTTAATCAGTATATAATAGGCAAATATATAGTACAATAAATTGCATTTATACACATAAATACAAAATTTGAGGTAGGGCCTCAAGAATAATGATTTCTTAAATGAATAACACACAATATATAATATGTACTCTAGAAGATATATATATGATGCATCATTTGTAACACAACATATTTTCTTTATGTATTATTAATGAAAAAATATAAGGACCTGATTAGGGAGCTTAGCTTTATTCATAGGCAACAGTACTCACATAAGATGCCTTAACTTATGACATTAGCCAAGTACACAATTTAAGAACTAACCTATTCCATGATAGGTCTATAGTAAAGTGCAAAAAAAGAATTTTTTTAAAAAGTGACAAAACAAACAAAAAACATTTCCTAATCAATTACTAAGTATCATCCTAACAATAAAATACACCTATAAGGCAAATGGTTACCTGAAGATGTATTTAATCCATGGCAGGCAAATCAAACCACTGCTTGCTTTTCAGAGGTAATGAATATAAAATCTGAAAAACACTTTCTCTTTGGCCGCAGCTTGCTCAGAGGTGACCTGAGCAGAGTTCACATTTCGAAATACTTGATCTTTCTGGACAGTTGAAGGAAAACCTGGGAAAAACAGAAAGCTTTCCTTTCACATATCTTAGGGCAGCCACTTTCTGGAGAAATTAGTATCAAAACTAAATCTCCCAAACCTTTACACTCAGTCTGGACATTTACTGTATGATATCTGAGTACGAAACAGGCAAAGCTCATTGGCCGGCCTTGGTCCTTTGTCTGTCTCTGCAGGACAACCTGCTATGCAGTGTACCTTCACGTGAGCCATCTATCTCAAAGACACCTGTTGCAACCCCAAATCCAGATCCGACAGCAGTAGTGTGATCTTACCATCACGCATTCAATGAGCAATAGTAATTGTGCAAATCTCCGGGAAGACAATGACCGGTGGCCAAGGAACAAAGAGGAAAGAAAACTTAATGTTAGGCACGGCAGAGCTATATTGACAGGTGAAGACGCACAGAAAGCATGGAGGCATGAGTAGACAACAGAGCAAGGACATCATCAAAGGAAAACTCCACTCCAATGAAACATTTGCATAAAGACAACCCAAGTCTTATCCATTTAAAGATCACTGTGTTAAACTCTTTTTAAAGTGCTGCTATTCCTCCAGGAAATACAAAGTGATGACATTTCTTGCATAATAAAAACACGAAAATTTCAAAGAAAAGAAGTTGAAGTCATCCAAGATTGTGCGTTGATCACAGATTTCATGCAATAAATAAGTAAGAGGAAGAAAAAAAGACCACAATTTGACACACTTGTACAGGACAAACACAGCTCTAAAGAGATTAAAAGTTACAAATTGGCAAGACGAACATTTGCTTAAGAAGCCACAACACCAATAGTTAAGAAATATACTTTTTTTTTTTCTCCTTTAAGGATATTACAGGGTTATTGTTTTTCACATATGGCTTTTTATCTCTGAATGGGTTTCTGGCATTCGTTGGTGTTATTGAAATAATCTCAGCAGTGGAAAATGCCCCACTCTTGTGCACAATGAACCAAAGAAAGTTCTTCCTCAGCAACTCAGGTTTGTATCTTTTTCTTCCTCTGTTTTTCTGAGCTTGACGGGAACTCTCAGGTGGCAGTTTACAACAGCGCTGCTCATTTTATTTTCATTCATTCATTTTTCTTCTTCCAGTTGACTCTGCGCATTTGAATAGCGTGGAAACACCCATCTGTTTGTGTGCATCTGAGCTCTTAGCGTCCCAGCCAGGTCCATGGGCGGAGCAGCAGGAATAGAGGGGCAATGACTGTGCACAGCCCTGCCAGGGAATGCCTCGAAGTTGAACATGGCTCTAGACACAGAGAAACTATGGTAACAGTTTCCTGGTAAGTTCAGACTTTAAGCAACTTTTATGTGAACATTGGAAACTGTAGGGAAAAGGAAGAAACAAGACAAGGAAGGAAACCAGGTACTCAGTGAGCAGTTCTGAGTCTTAGCCGTACAGGTCCTAATGCACACAGACGCTGCTGCCTCCAAATGCAAAACACACTCGCTAGTGAGGAGGATGCCATCTCCACTGTTAAATAAACTTTCAGTTTGTACGAAAAAAGCCTGGCAGCATTTGTGGGGTTTTTCCCTTCTTTTAACCACAACAGCAATAATGAGCAGAAATTAGGTTGGCGTCCAGCATCAGATGCGAGTTCTAGCCCAGAAGGGAGGGAGGAGAGCCAAAAACCATCAGTCCTGACACAAACATACCAGCCCCAGGAGAGAATGCTAATTGATTACGCTCTTTTCGTCAACCTCTGAAGTGGAAAGGGCTGTAGATAATTTCCAGGCCTAGGTCATTTCCTCCCTGGCCCTCCCACCCCCCAGATATCAATGGAAGAGGCTAATTTTTGATGCTGCTGTGCTATGGAAATGGAGACCTCTCATCAGTATGGCTCTCTCAGGGAAACCGGTGCTAACGGCCCCCATGGGAAACATTTGGAAAAGTGAGAGCACAGCTCAGCTTCCCCAAGTGAAGTATCTCAGGGAAGCTCAGGGTTCCGTCTCCGTGACAGACAGCAGGTTCCAGCTTCAGGAGACAGAAGGAAAATAATGAGGAGGAGGAGGAAGGACAGACAGACACTGAAGACAGAAGACATGAACACCTAAAGTTCAAAACCCATCTTTGTTTCCTTTTTCAAAACTTTTCACAGGCTACTCTTGAAAACTGGAAGTTTACATCAGTGCTGGCGAATGATGGCAATATTTGCCCTAGAAAAGGGAGCTCTCAGTAAAATGAGTTCAAACTTTTTTTTCCCCCAACAAATGAAGTCATTTTTTTTAAAAAAATGTTACATTAAGGTCTGTTATTGGGTTTCATTGTCACTGAATGGGATGAAAATGTCACATCAATAGATGACATCAGAACAGAAACGTTGCCTGAGACCCTGCGATATGAAGACAAACAAATAAGAAAATGATTGAAGTGGTCTCCTCTAAAGGAAACAATTTTAGGTTTAGATATTATTACTGTAAGGAAAAAATAAACAAACAAAAACCTCAGATTACACTATTCTAAACTCGCCATCTCTACAGTAGTTCTTAAGATATTTATAAGGACAGAAAACACCACTACAAGTACACACTACATGAACACATAGCACACTTTAAAAATTTCATATATTCATGTTCAGGACACAAGAAGATAATAAAGGTTATAGCTTGGCCAATTTCTGCAGACCTATGATTCACTCTCATTAGAGCGCAGTTACAGTGATTACTGGGAAGAGGGAGCTCTTAAAATTGAATCGGCTAAATGAAGTCTTAAAAGCTATAGTCTTAATTGGCTCACTCGCCACTTGCCTAAGTCGTATTTATCAGAAACGCCTGCAAACACAGGGACCTAAAATGTACTACCGGCGCAGTGAATACTATGGTTGCTTTTTATTAAATTCTCCGTCTCTTTAATTTCTCTATAACCACAGTTGGCATTTACTGTGATTGAAAAGTTAAGAGTAAAAATTGAGCAGTTATCTGTCTTTTAAGAGTTTGTGTCCTATATATATAATATATAGACAGAACCAGGGTAAGTCTTGTTTTCCCAGAGGCTGAAAGACAAGGTATCTACAGCTTACAGAAAGACATATATAAGAGAAGAAAGATGGAATCGTGACATTGAACCACGGGGCCAAATGTCATGTGGAAACGAGAATGGAACTCTACTAGGAACGTACAAAATCAGGCACAACTCCGATGATGTCTTCTTGGGCAGAGGTGGGGGGAGTGACCAAAAGAACTCACAAGCATGACTTGCAACAAAATAGATGAAAAATAAAGGAAAGAAGATGACTGAGGAAGAAAGCAGCTCTTCCCTCAGACGTGCAGAGAGGGAAGGCACTGAGTCCTGGATATACTTGAGACAGCTGGTCCAACTGAAGAATGCAGATCTCTAATTGTGAATGGAAATGTGAACGGATTACACTCAAATCTACTGGCCTAGATTCCATCCAAAACATTTTCTAATCACAGCTGACCCTCTAAGTGTTCCCTGTTCCGAACCCTTTGAGTCTGAATGAAACCATTATATTGATCAGTGCGGTGCTATAATGCTGACAAATCCAGATTAAGAATCTCATCATTCTGCATTCTGTGTATGCCTTGGGGTCTCTGGGCAGTACAAATGGTTAACACACTCAGCTGCTAACTGAAAGGTTGCAAGTTGCAGTTCACCCTCAGGTGCTTAGGAAAAAAAACCTGGTAATCAACTTCCAGACACTGAGCCACTGAAATCCTGTAGGGCACACACAGGATTGCCATGAATCCAGGTCAACTCACCAGTAACTGATTGGTTGATACATGCCTACCAGCACCACCCAATGACAGCACACAGTGGATACTTCTCCTACGTGTGACTTCACTGCAAAGACCTCCCCTAGTTGATGCGCCCCTGCAGTACAAAGCGTGTGCAAGGGACCAACGTGACCAGAAAATGACACCATGGACACAGGCACACAGCTCTTCAAGTGGTCGGCCTGCTTCTTCACTGCAGCTTGTGACACTGTGTCCAACTTTTCTACGAAACCTCTCTGGTGCATGGGTATGAGCCAAAATGTGGGAAGAAAGAAGAAAAACGGGAGGAAAGATGGGAGAAACGTTAGGGGGAGGCAGAAAAGAAAACCAGGATCAAGTCGGGGCCATCCCACGCCACCAGACTAGCACTGGGTGCCCAGTTCCAAATCCTTCAGTGGCAGTTTGAGTCCCAGGGAAGAGGTCCCCAAGGGGTCGATCATGTTCTTGTAACGCTCCCCACGGTGCTGAGCTAAGAACGGGCCCCAATCGGGCTGCGGTGAGCACACCAACTTCAGCCTCTGCAAAGAAGCCAAAGACATACAGGGTCACAGAAGCAATGTACCCTACTCCCTGAGGCATCCCCCACCCGCCCAAACTGCTTACAGCCATTTGTCAGAACCCCTGCTTGAGCCAAGAGGTCCCCCACCAAGAGAAACACTTAAGAAGATCAGCCCCATTAATTAACTAGGCCAGGGACCTTAAATAGGAGACTTAGTTTGCTTCATTTGAAATTATTTACATCAACCTGCAAGCAATATTACAATGTACTGCTGCTCAGTATTTGCCTTGCACAAGATTAATAGAGGATAAAGGGCCCTGATTTTAATTATACATTTTTCTCCTCCAAATGAAGAGAATTCTCAAGCTTCTCCCTCCATTACCAAACACAGTCTGCATAGGACATATGCTCAATGACTTTTGTTCTGTAGTCTCAACAGTGGGTTGCTACATCAAAATAACTGGGTTTTTGTTCAGCATATTTCCCAAAAGCATATAAATGGCTGGGAAAAAAAAAAAAGCCCAACCCAAAAGTACATTGCTAAGACTGAGCAAAGATTTTAATTATCTGTTGACAAAAATAGAAGCTTCTGACTTGGTTCAGAAGTGTGGGTGCTCGCAGGCAAGCTAAAAATAATAGGAATGTCTTTAATCCTTCAACCGAACTTTTTACGAAAAAAAGAACTTGACTGGAACATTTTACAGAAAAAAGAAATAAGACATATTTCTGACTACATAAGAGGGAACAATTATATGTTTATTACCTATTAAAGTGAAGCTGGTTCTTATAGCTGTTAGTTTAATCTCCCCTTAATCATCAGTTTGCAACCTTTGTGTCCCAAATCAACCATAATAAATTTATACAGCAGACTCATCAGTTTAGAGAATTCCAGCCTAAGACAAAAGTAGTGGAGGCTAAACCAACTTCTGTTCAGAGAGAAGGAACGAGATTTCTAGGTCAGTAGGTGGGGAGGTTCATCTCGGGTACAAGTGAGCTGCCACCAGGGGTCAGTGGGGTCATGGTAAGTTACCTCAGTAGAAGAAGGAACAGAATTACTAAGGCTGAGAACTGGCATATACTGCTTCCGTCAGGGGAGTCCTTGACCTCTTGTTCACCAACTCTGTCTCATCTTTAGCCCAATGAAAACACAAGATGCCATCCCTTTGGCCTCTGTGCTCTGCATTTACTCAACTACACTGTCTTCATCCCCTTCTCTCCTCCAAGCCTCAGCAGGATGCTCCAAGGGCCTCTTCCTTTCCTCACATGGCTGACTAAGAGAAAGACCCAGGAGCTGGTCTCTGCCCTCTATAGGCAGCTCTTTCCTTGCCCTAACCAACGCTTTTCAAACTCCAACATGTGTCAGAATCACCTGGGAACTTGTAAACTACAGACTTCCCCACAATTCTGGTTCAATGGATCCAGCCCAGAGCATTTCTAACAAGCTCCCAGGTGATGCTGATGCTGCTGGTCCCCAGACCACACTTTGAGTAACACTGGTCTAGATCCCTGGATCTCCAAAGATGGAGGCTGGGCTGATTATTCCCAGCACATCTGAGTAAGTTACCAGTCATCAATAACAAAAGTGACACTTCATTGGTGGCTCGAGTGACAGTACCCTCCCCATCCACTGTGGAGTGAGGGTGGGGACTTTTTGCATTAGAAATGGGAAATGAGTCCAGCAAGGGATTGGCTGACAAGGAAAGACAAGTCTCACCTCCTATGAGCCATGTCCTGGCCCTCTCATTACAGTCTATGGGGACGGTCACATTCTAATTGGCTTGGATCCTCTCAGCCATCACTGACTCAAGACACAGTAGGAAGGGGATGTAATTTAAAATATAACTGCCACCTCAGAAAGGAATTTGGGAGGGAGGAGGCGTGGATGGAGAGGACCATCAGGAAAGGGAGAATCTGATGCGTAGTTAAAAACCAGACACTGGGATTTAAATTGTGGATGAGGGAGGGGAGGAGGAACTCCAGGGAAAGAGAGATACCCCAGTCATTTATTCCCCAGCTGTCACCATACTGAGGAATGGCATAATAACAGCTCGCCTGAGGATCAGCTGAGCCCCTCCATTAGAGGAATAATACATAATAAAAATGAGTTTAATAGAAACGGTGGCAACTGTAATCACTTAATCACCGAGACTCCCTCTTGAATAAGTTTCCTGAATCTTTTGTTTTTTAATGCACCGAGCTTTCAGGGGCTCCCCCTTGGGAGGGGATGGCTAGCGAAAGGCGCCCATAGAATTACCTCAATAAATCTGCCAGGGGCCAGATGCATTTTTATCACAAACATCACTGGGATCCAGATAACGGAACAGGCGAGCATTAGCCATCCAAGCACCATGGACCAGTTGGGGTAGCGGTAAGAGCCATAGGTCATCGGCTCCCACTGGTAAAAGCTGAAGCAGAGGATAAACTGAGAAGAAAAAGGAAACACACGAGTTAGGATAGTGATGCCAACGAGTTAGTCATTCAGCAAGTGTGTACCAAGCCCTGCCATGGGTTCCATGCTTTTGTCTCTATTATTTCTTATTTTACCCACAACAACCTTTTGAGGAAGGTATCATTAGTCTCATTTCTCAGATGAAGAAACTGAAATTCGTGAGGTGAAGATCACAGACACACAAATCAAACCAGTTGCCATCAAGTTGGTTATAACGGGCGGCAAGCCCACGTGTTGCAGCGTAGAACTGCGCTCCAGCAGGTTTTCAGGCTGTGACCTTTCAGAAGCAAGTGGCAGGCCTTCCTTCTGAGGCACTTCTGAGTGGGCTCACACTGCCAAGGGTCCAGTTAGTAGCTGGGGGCTTAACCGTTGGCACCACCCAGAGAGGCCTGCAGATCACACACTGGGTCAAGTACTGGCCCTGCATTTGCCATCCCAGGAGAACTGAACAATGTGTATGGGTGCAGACAGAGTACACAGGCTGAGAAGAAAGTCTAAAGGACATTCACTAAGGTGACTGATGGGTGGAAGTGGGAGGGGCAAGGGGAATGTTTTCTGAGGAAAAGGACTTGAGCATACTTTCTGTAATGGATAATCAAGCTTTTATTATAAGAAAGAAGTCCATTAAGTTTATGTGTTGTTTTTTTTTTTTAAAAAAAGAAAAGAATGAATTGAACCTACTTTTCTTTTACCTTGAATGGAGAATGGCCCACACTCAGGAGCTGTCTCCACAGTTGTCTGAGTAGGACCCAGAGGTCCATCCCCAACTAGTGCCAGAACCTGAAGCTCAGACACAGAGTAAGCTGTGGGGTAGCCAGAGTGGATGGACTGCCCCCCCTCTGCACTGGCTCAAGGTGAAGGAGTGGCATCACCAAATGGAGACCAGCAGGCTAATCTGGACTCTGCCGCTATGAGCTGAGGGACCTTTATGTCTCAAACTTCTCTGCTATAAAATGGATGTATTTCACACTACATGGACAGGATGGGGGTTTTCTGGGAACAACAGCCTGGCATTTACTGGAGAATGACCCCTCCATTTGAAGGGCGGTTGTGATTTATTTTCTGCCCATTGTCTCTGATCACCACGCAGTCTGGCCGGCAGCAGCAGCGGGACTCCCCCCGCAAAGACTTGCAGGGCAGCTGAAGAGGAGAAGGGAGCACGTGCACTGCAACCAGTTGAAAAACCCATTGCCGTGGAGTCTACTCTGACTCCTGGTGACGTCATGTGTGTCAGAGTAAAAGCCCTGCTCCACAGGATTTTCATGGCTTATTTTTTCCAAAACAGACTGCCAGACAAATCTGCGTGGGACAAAGCCAAGCCAGGATGCTCCTTAGAAGTGAGGATGGTGAGACTTTGTCTCATGTATTTCGGTCATGTTACGAGGAGGAACCAGTCCTGGAGAAGGACATGATGTTCGGTAAACAGGGGGTCAGCGAAAAAGGGGAAGACCCTCAATGAGATGGACTGACACAGTGGCTGCAACGATGGGCTCAGACACAGCAATGACCGTGAGGCTGGCGCAGGATTGGGCAGTGTTTTGCTCGGTTGCACATAAGGTTTCTATGAATCAGAACCAACTGGACAACACCGAACAACAACAAGATCACCAGGCCTTTCTTGAGGTGCCTCTGGGTGGACTCCAACCTCCAAGCTCTCAGTCAACAGTCAAGGACATTAATGTTTGCACCAGCCCGGGACTCTGTACTGAAAGCAGAGGTCCCTAAAGAGGCTGGACAGGGACTCACTACTCTAGCCAAGTCCTTGAAGGGGGTGGGTATTTCCCTGAGAAAATCGTGTGGCTCTTTGTGTTCATCCTGCGCACAGAAGGATCAGCTATAACAATTTGACCTCCTAAGTCCTTTCTGCTACTTTCGTCCTACCTTGAGCAGTAAAAATAACAGCCCCCAAATGATGGGAGGGTACTATGTCAGGAGAGACAATAAAAGGATGTATTCTGGAACAGTATGAAGCATTACACAAACAAGGCATCTATATTATTACCGCAAAGCCCAGGCTGCTGGGGCCAGTGGTTATTTCAATGTAACAATAACTCAATATATTGATTCTAAGCAACACGAGCCTGAAGACAAGTGATGGAGAAAAACGCTCCTCTGGAAGAGATGCCTATACTAGGCCTCTTTAGAAACATTTGCCCCTAGAGTGATGAGCTTTATTAACCCGACTATTGGCAGTATGGCCTAATGTAATTATGGCAAGTTGCTCCATTTCATTTACTATATAAATAGCAATACATCTGCTTATGTTTGTGCATAATTCAGTAACGTGATCTGACTATGTATACAATAATTGCATGGAGAATATTTATAGCTCTATAAATCCATGAAGGCACACATAAACATGATCAATTTTATTTCAGGAGCTTTGAAGTAATTTAAACCATAATCTTAGCCCATTCTAGCATGGCACAAATACCCGTTTTACAGAAGTGCAAAAAGCAAAAGCTAAGTGTTAGGCTTGGTCCTTCCACTCCCATTTGCAATTGCACAAATACCACATCAAACTAATCAGTGCAAACTTGTTCTTTGCCAGGAATTTCCTACTGACCAATCAGCTTTGATAAACCTCCTGCCCTTGGGTGGGCCTGGTGATGAAAAATGCTCATTTAGTGCCTTAGTCAGGTTCACCTGGCCTTTTGTTGATGGCCCTGGACAGAGATTCATCGGTTGACAATGATGGTGGAATTGACCACTTTTAATTATGCCTGGGTCCCTAACAAGAGAGGAGGGGAACCTGGCTCATACTATTTCCTGTGACTTCTGCACAGGTTTCTGATGTGAGTTTTATAATGGAAACCAAGTAAAGCAACAGCATAGTTGAGAACTTTCTCAAGAAATACAGTAAGTCCCTAAAATTACTCTTATCTGACATTCTGCCCAAGAAGATACCCATAAAAACTTATTGCCTTCAAATCAATTCTGACTCTTAGCCCCATAGGGTTTCCAAGGCTGTAAATACTTATGGAAGCAAACTAGCCACATCTTTCTTTTGGGGACTGCTGGTGGGTTCAATCAGCTAATCTTTGGGTTAGTAGCCAAGTGCTTAACTACTGTGCCACCAGGGATTAAAAATTAAAAAGAAAAAAAACTGCCATTGAGTGATTCAGACTCACAGCAATCCTATGAGACAAGGTAGAATTATCCCATAGGGTTTCCAAAGCTGTAAATCTTTATAGAAGCAGATTGTCTCATCTTTCTCCCATGGAGCAGCTGGTGAGTTTGAACCACTGACCTTTTAAGCCAAATGCCTTAACCACTTACCACTACTTTAATCCCAAACAGACCAAATCCCACTTGGAGATGAAAGCACTGAATGTTTCAGAAATGCATCAGGTTTACAGCATAACAGCCCTGGATTCAACTCTTAACTCTGCCACCTGCAAGTTTTATGGCCTTGGGCAAGTTCCTTAACCTTACCGTCTATCAAGTGGGGAGCACTACCACCTACCAGGCAGTGGGTCACTGCTTAAGAGGCAGGGTTTGCAAAGTGCCTGGCTCCGAACAGGCTTCAGGAGACAGCAGTGCTGGTTATTAGGATGTGGTATGTTTCTGCAGAATGTAGTAAAATCCTCTGAAGCTTAGTGTCTTCTAGGATGGGAGGAAAAGGCAGGCAGAATATGGAACAGCCAATAACAAGTAACACGTGGTAATTCCTGGGGAGTACAAACAGTTAACGTGCTCGGCCACTAACTGAATGTTTGGAAGTTTAAGCCCACCCAGAGGTCCTTCAGAAGAACGGTCTGGGGGTATACTCCCAGAACATCAGGCATTAAAAACCCTCTGGTGCGATTCCACTCTGACACACATGGGGTCACCAGGAGTCAGAATCCACTCAACAACAACGTGGTGCTTGTTTTGTTTTTTCCTGGTAGCAACTCAGGGAACTAGCCAAGCTTAGATAAGACAGGAAACGCCAGAGGGGGAACATCTCCCATCAACAAAAGGTGCTCTCAAATGTTTTCTTCCCACCAATCAGGTGAATCTGAGTTCTTCACACACACGTCTTCAGTCTTGAATTCAGGAGTCTGAAAATCTACTTTCATCCTTTCCAGTTCTCAGGCACCAAAATTGGTGAGACTCTTCAAACAAAACTTATCCTCTAAAATGTGGGTATAGACGTTGACCTAAGCACTGAAGTTGTCCATATCAATGTAAAACGCTAAATCGTTTCTCCTTTTCAGAAAGAAATGGAGGTCCTTTGATTAAAACTCCCTTTTGTGACAGTAAAAGAAAGAAAGATATGTATTTTCCTTATAATTTTACTCTCCTGCCCCATTTTCTTTTAAAGCTGGCACTTTTCTTAAAGAGTAAAGCAAGGGTGTTAATCTGGTTTCTAGTGCCACCTACTGGCAACAGGCAGTAATACAGTCAACTTCTCACAGCCTTAAGGAAAGGTACACCATCTGCAACCATCCAAGCATCAGGAGGGGCAAGGCAAGGTCCCTGTCAGTGACTGTGGTTGGGGGTGGAGTGGAACAAAGGTAGTAGTCTATGGCACACTGAAGGAGGTGAGAGGATGTGCTTGCAAGTCCCTGTGATGATTTACTGACTCATGAAGGGCTCTGATCTTTAAGCAGATGAATGTCAGATGATCTCAAATGTCACCATCACACTTGAGGATGACAAGATCCTCAAAAGCAATAAAAATTAGCAATAAAAGTCTAAATAGGGCTATGTTAGCTGCAGGGTGGCTATATTTAGTAATAATTAGGAACATGAGTTCTGAAGCAAGACTGCTTAGGGTCAACTCCAGGCTGTGTGAATTATTGGGTGTATAATTCTGGGCAAGTTACATGACTGTCCTTCGGTTTCCTCACCTGTAAAATAGATGTAATAGCAACCTCACAGAGCTGCTGTGAGGGGGAAATGAGGTGATATTATGAAGCCTGCACTTTGAACAAACTCTGCAACATGGCTAACATGTGGTAACTGCTAGCTGTGATTGTTATCTGCTATGGAGCTTTGGTAGCATAGTGCCTAAGGCACTTGACTGCTCACCAGAAGGCTGGCGGTTCAAACCCACCAGCCACTCCTCGGAAGGAAGGTTGGGCAATCCTACTTCCATAGTGATACTGCCTCGGAAACCCAAGGAGGGGTCGCTATCAGTCAGGGCTGACTCAACGGCAAACAACAACAACATCAGTATGTGAAGAGCTCTGGTGGTGTGGCAGTTAAGGCATTTGGCTGCTAACCAAACAGTTGGTAGTTCAAATCCACCAGCCACTCCACAGAAGAAAGATGAGGCAGCCTGCTTCCGTAAAGACTTACAGCCTTGCAAATCCAATTGGGGGCGAGGGGGTCGCTATGAATTGGAATTGACTTGATGGCAGTGAGCTTGGTTTTTGGTTTGTCAGTACATGAGGCAGCCTGATGTAGTGGGGAATGTCCTGGAGGGGTGTCTCAAAGACCTATGTGTGAATTCCAACTCTGCCCTTGACCAGCTAACCACCTGGGGTGAGTCACTTCACTTCTCTGAACCTCAGTTTCTTCATGTGAAACATAATAATAACACCCACCCCATCAACTCCCCAGGCTCATACATAGGCACACACCTTGTTCAAACATAAAACACCACATGCCCATGCAAGGTTCTATTCGCACAATAAAGCATGTATCCTTACAGTTAAAATGGTTGGGGTTACAAATGCCCAGCAGACTTTCCAGAAAATGTTTGGCTGGAATCCAATCATCATCTCTATATCTTCACAGAATCTTTGCAAGCCTGCAAACAGACAAGCAGAAACCAAGCATGAGGTGCAATGGTACGGGGTGAGGTGGGGGGGCAGGGGCTAGAGTCCTTCCCTCAAATCCATTGGCTAGGAATGATCCCACCCTGGTATGCAGGGAACTGCCTTGATAAATGACTTGCTGCCGATAAGATTAAGAAAATTGAACATTTAAATGACATTAAATACTCTCTGAAGTGAGGTTCAAAAATGTCATCCCACAGTGACATCAGAAAAGCTCAGTTCCGGTCCTGCCCAGACACCTGAGCACTGCCACAGTCTGACACATTCACCTGTGTGGTTGTTTTCTGAGTTGGACTCGCGTGCTTAGCTCCAACTCTGGCAAAACCAATTAAAGTTTGTGGTCAATAAGCAGAGTGTATTATGAAAGCCCTGGGATTTAGAGAAAAAATCACTGTACATTGGTTTTGTCCCAAGGACACTCTTCCAGCGAGTCAATCTATCTCTGCCTATGTAAGATGATAATGACCAACAAAAACCAACATAAATTCTAAGTGGTCCTCACTCACTTCGTTGGAACTCAAAGTATTGCTGTCTTCTTGGCAGCGGATCAACTTAAATAAGGTAAAACACAGAGGAGATACTTTTTCTAATGGCCCTAATGGGATCATCCCTGTGCACTCTTGTTTTAGGAAGGTTTTAAACCAGTCCTTGGAAAGACACACCACTGAGGAATTTTTAGAATTGAGTGGTTTCTTCCATTTCCTGGGCTTGCCAGCTTTCTCTGAGCTCTGGGAAAAGTCCCCGTGTTCAACTCCTCTGTAGTCAGCAGCTCTGAGCAGTGCTCAGCAGTCTTGGCTAGAACACTCATTTCTTTGTTCTCTGGGTCATTTGCCGAGAAGTGGGCATCCTACGGGTCAAGAGCAGCTGAGGTGTTCTCCAGGAAAAGTCCCCACTTCCCTGAGAATAATCTCTGCACATTCCTAGGTCATCTTCTAGACCTGGGCCACTTGTTCTTTCCTTTCTCTGGCTGTCAGCCTCCTTGGGTTTCTGGGTCCTTTGCCCTTAGCCCCAGGAGGAACAGGAGATTTCAATCTTGAGGCACTCCTCTTCCAGCCTTCACCTTGTCATCTCTTACCCTTCTGCCATCTCCTCCCTGTGCACTAGCTGGCTCCATCAGGACAGTGTCCTCGCCCAATGCCTGCCACAGTCCAGACTTCTTCCTTTTTCCCTCAATGGCCTGCTCCCTCTGAAAGGTAGGATGTATGAAGTGAAGACAATCCTCTGCTGAGGCAGAAAGCAGAGCCTGTGGTATTCCTTCCAGGGAACAGAAGAGTTAACCCCAGCTTCATTAAAAAAAAAAAAAAAGTGGTCTGATAATATTCTTTTCCTTGATCTGGGTTCTGGCTACAAAGAGTAAAAATTCATTGAGTGGTACACACAAGATGTTGTGGGGTATTTTTTTGTTTTTTTTTCCTTACATGTATATAAAGTTTACGTCTCCCCAACTCTCATACACTGCTGGTGGGACTGTAAAATGATACAACCACTGTGGAAATCAGTATGGCAATTCCTTAAAAAGTTGGAATTAGATACACCATTTGATGCAGCCATCCCATTACTAGGTATATATCCTAAAGAAGTGAGAGCCAGGACACAAACAGATATATGCACACCCATGTTCACTGCAGACTATTCACAATGGCAAAGAGATGGAAACAGCTTAAGTGCCCATCAACAGAAGAATGGATAACCAAACTATGGTACATACATACAATGGAATACTATGCAACACTAAAAAAGAATAATGTAGAATCTGCAAAAGACTGCATAATGTGGATGACCTTGGAGGACATTATGCTGAGTGAAATAAGTCAATCACAGAAGGACAAATACTGTATTAGTTCCCTATTGCAAAAAGTCAAGGAAAGGTTTATATGTGGAAGGAAATTTCTTTGTTGATTACCAGGAGTGGGAGGGGAGGGAACATTGCTAGACAGGTAAGGACAAGTATTGATTTGGGTGAAGGGAAGAGCAATGTACCAAAAGTGAGTGATCAACATGGTGGCACTTAAGAAGAGGAAGACATAGAGAGGTACACTAGGTACAGACAACAAAGATGAACTCTTGTACATGTACAGTACTGCATTGGGAGTGATGGCAAGCATTGATCTATGAGTGGATAGATGGGTGGACAGGCTGAATGATCAGGTATGTCTAGGTAGGCTAGGTAGGGGGGAGTTTGCTCATGACCATATATATGGTTGGCAGACGATGTTTCTACAAGTGTATTGTATGTACTGTAAGAATGTCCAGGTGTATAGTAGAGCTGACAAGGGGCAAGGTTGTGGTGGCTTCTTGGTCACAGCTAGCTACCCAGAGGGAACAAGCAGTTGGACCTGCAGGCTTGGGACCATGGTCTTAGGGGACATCAAGCTCAATTGGCATAACATACTACACAAAAACATTGTTCTACATCCTGCTTTGGTGAGCAGCATCTGCGGTCTTAAAAGCTTGCAAGTGGTCATCTAGATGTAATGATGAGTCACTCCTCATCCAGAGCAAAGACGAATGAAGAAAACCAAAGACACATGGAAACAATTAGTCCAAGTACACCATGAGATCCTCAGCCTATATGACTATGAGACCAGAAGAACTAGATGGTGCCTGGCTACCACTGTCAACCACTCAGAGGGGGATCTATGTAGGAGATCCTGGATAGAATGGGAGAACAATGTGGAACAAAACTCAAAATCATTAAAAAAAAAAAAAAAGAAAGAAAGAAAAAATAAAAAAAGGGACCAGGTTTTCTGGTCCGATAGAGCCTGGTGGAACCACTGAGACTATGGCCCCTAGCTGCTCTTCAGATCTGGAATAGAACCCCTCCTATGGCTTCCAGCCAAACAAAAGATAGACATATGAGCTGAACATTTACATTAGGTAGATACATTCCCTGGAAAGGTCAATCATGGGAGAATAGAAGGGCTGCATATGCACAGGGAGACAGTTCGGGGAGCAGGAGTGCATGAGAGGGAAGGACACAGGGAAGAGGTACCTGTGGGAAGGAAGTGGGAGGGGAGCTGTTGCATTGTGGGAAATTGAAGTCAATGTCATGAGACAAAGTGTATGTGAGCTGCTGTATGGAAAGTGAATTTGCTCTGTAAACTTTCACCCAAATTACAATAAAAAATTAAAAACAAAAAACATACCCAAGTACTGATCTTAGGGGGGGGAAAGATTCTAGAAAATTCAAAATTAATCCTGTTGCCCAGGGACCATTCCCAAGTGATAGTGGCCCCCAATGGCCTGACTGGGGAAACTGAAGCAATAGGGCTTAAAGTCAGACTAAGGAAGGCAAAGATAACCTCCCATGGAGAGGAGAGGTCACAATCAAAGTGCTCAAATTTTCCCAGAGGGAAGGGTCAGCAAGAGACATCTGTAACCCCAGCATGTCATTGGCCTCCCAACAGAAGGTTTCTGGGCTGGCCGGCCTCTCCCAACAAAAGAGTTCTGGGCTGGCCGGCCTCTCCCAACAGAAGGGTTCTGGGCTGGCTGGCCTCTCCCAACAGAAGGGTTCTGGGCTGGCCTCTGGCTTGGACAGGCTCTGGGTCCTGTGACTGTCCTGCCTGCTCTGCCGACCTCTATGTTCGCCCTACCAATGCAGCCAGGGGCATAGCTGGTAGCCACCGGGGAACCAGCTCCCTCCTGCCCCGTGCACATTCCTGAGTCAGGCTCTCCAGTCCCTCCATCATCTGCCCCAAGCAGCCTCAGTCCTCACTGTGCCCTGGGTCACACTCACAATCCCCCCCCTCAGTCCCTTATTGAGTCAACAATGAAGTGCACTTTAGGTCTTTGTTTATATGGCTTCACTTGCCTCTGCTCTGTTCTTCCCACCAATCCAAATCTCTCTTGATTTCAAGGCCTAACTCACAATAAAGGAATTGTTCATGGAGCTTGAACTTAGCCCAGATGGGTTAGACAGCAAGCAGTCAGGCCTCAGAAGGGATCAGGGCAACAGCTTCTCAAAAACGAGTCAAAATTAGCAGAATAGCCAGCCTTGTGGGTACTTGTGGCTATGAAACTGGGCTCAACAATAAGGATTTAGGGTTCAGAAATCTACCCACGGTGAAATCCATACAATCAAACAATCTAGAATCGAGGAGCCAAGAACTTGCTTCAATCAACCAACCACTTTCTTCAGCCTGTGCAGCTTTGTGGCTTCTGCCTTTTTAACCTTGCCCTTTGTCTAGATACAGTCTTAGGAGATGCTCTCTCTGCAGTATAGCCAAGATCACCTTCCTGGGCACACAAGCTGTTTAGGAAGCGACCTAGGACTTATGCTCAGGAAAGAACACACTTGCTTTTAATGCTCTGCTGTCGCATCTTAAAATTTTTAATCATTTTTTTTTAACAAAGGATCCCTCATTTTCCTTTTGCAATGGGTCCTGCAATGTTGTTCATCCTGTGTATGTCCAGTGCTTTACATGGGCTATTGTTGTTAGTTGCCACCAAGTCACCTCTGCCTCATGTTGGCCCGTGTACAACAGAATGAAATGTTGCCTAGTTCTGCTCCAGCTTCATGACCGTTAGCATACTTGAGTCTGACGTTGAGGCCACTGTACACTTTGAGTGCCTTCCAACATAGGCAGTTCATCTTTCAGCACTATATTAGACAATGTTCTGTTGTGATCCATAGGGTTTCCATTGGCTTTCGGAAGTAGATCACCAGGACTTTCTTCCTAGTCTGTCTTAGTCGGAAAGGTTCACTGAAACCTTCCATCATGGGTGACCCTGCTAGGATTTGAGACACCAGTAGCATAGCTTCCAGCATCACCGCAACATGCAAGCCATCATAGTATGACAACTAACAGACACATGGTGGGAGAATATTCAAATTATTCTTTCACAGCTAATCTGAAGGTCTCTTCCCTCAGAGCCAATTCCTTCTATATTGGCTTAGGTTTTCCCTGCTTTGGGGCAATAAACTAAGTCTCAGTCTTTGTTTTCTTTCATTTCTCAGACACCACCTTCCCCA